TCACGCTGCCCATTTTTCCTGCTTCTAACACATCAACTTTGAGTACATGTTCACTTGCTGCCTGATATATCCCCCCCACTGACAGGAGCCATGATAACCAGATAATCAGTGTTATTCACTCATAATGTTATGGCTGATCGGTGTACACCAGATAGATCTGGATGACTGAGAATCTTCACAGACACAAATGTCTCCACTTTTTTATACGACTTTTGGCACCCGTACGAGTATAGGCCCCGGGTAACACAGAACCTGTCTTATGGCCTTTAGTATATCAGCTGAAGTGGTGCATATTCACAACTAAGGGGCTGGTCGAACGCACTTTACCAAACACCTTGGTAAAGTGCGTTGGGCACAGATTGTGGAGCAGGGCCACATACGCAACCGCTGAAAAAAAATTTGACCTCTTGCCGTCAGGCTCTGTATCTTCTAGCAACACATCTCGGTGTGAACGGCTACTGACAAATCACAATCCAACTGACAAATTGTCATCCTTGGGCTTTTGGGGCCTCGGTTGCCTGCTTAGACCTGGTTGGTAATCCAGTCTTGGCCCCCGGTCTTGAGTCATGTTAGGGTGTCAAATCATCAGAACTCTAATCATGATCAGATTTTCTTATGAGCTATAACAGCCGCATGAGTTGCTAAAACAATAGCTACCTCATTTTTGGATTCTGTGCCTCTTCACAGGTCAACACTGTTGGGACAGTCTGGGTTTGATGGTATGAGTCGAACTGAACTCGCCGCAACCCCCGACCCCTCGTCCGTTAGTGATAATTCCATTCAGATGATCTGGATTTGGCGTGAAGGCTCTTGTAACGCACTAAACTGTACGAATGCTAACAGAAAAACCACTTTGACTGCCTTTCAGGGTGCCTCCTTACTATTACAGCAAAAAAACATATCACTCATTATCCAATCAGAGCCTCTGACACCACCCGTATATCATCACAGTGGAGCAGGAAGTAGCAGCATTCACTAAACAGTGTGGCAACTGCATGTTTGTCAGTTATCACCCTAGATCAGGGAAATTTAGTTTTGCCACCACCCCCTTTTTGATCTGTCGTCCTCTTTTATTATTGTTTAACTATCACTTGTGAATTGACTTACCTGACTGGACGATGCCGTTGTATATAATTACAAAAGTGAATGCACAGTTTGACCAACATTAGACTGATGAGTGTTCCCGTGTGCCTCCTGATATCTACGGTCAGAAACCTTCCCACCTATCTAGAACGTTCACATTAAAACCACTAGGAGGCCTCATTAAACTGTAAATATTATCACAATGCCTTTCTCTGCCAAAGTCTGATTTTATTTACCATATTTTAGTGTTTTATTTTGTTTGTCGAGGTGAGTAAATACAGTGAACCTTGATACTGCAGTGTAAATGGCCTTTCCAATTTGCCTCTCAATTACCCATTCACTCACTCTTGGCAGTGAGCTACTGTGCTGGTCTGACAATTGGGAGCATTTTGGGGTTCAGTGTCTCACCCAAGGACACAAGAAATAGCTTGTGATCAAACTGGCAACCCTGTGATCAGTGGACAACCCGCTCTACCACGCCGTCTCCACAGGATATGCAGACCAAATGTAGGCCTGTCAGTTGTAGGTCGGCTGGGTTGTCTTTATGTTGTGGATATGATAATGGGTTAGAGTATGGATTTTTGTTTAGAAATGAGAAAACCAAAATCATGAAATGATCAATTTCCAGACTAACATTTATAAATATGTGGAACGAAACAGATAGTTTCCTCTTTTCAAAACAGAAAATGGGTGTTTTTTATTTTCAATTTTGGTTTTCTCATTTTGAAATGAAAAATCTTTGGTGTGACACCTTAAACCAGAGTTTCTTTCTTCTGTTTAACAGGTTAGATTTTAGGATCATCATGCGTGCAATGAATGCACCTTTTTCACATGCAAACTGGCAAAAAAAGTACAAAGGATATGATATATGATTCAATTCTTTCCCCAAAACACATTTAAAAGCAAGACTGAAAACTTTATAACTTTGTACATTCACTTCATTAATCAAATTCAAATAATTTTTAAGAAATTTTAAGACCCCACTGACACCCTGTTAAACTGGAACAAACAAGTTCTGGACTGCACTCTTGTCTGCAGTTCACGTGAAAATAAGCAGCGTGCTCCACTAAAGGGAGGATTCCATTTTAGGTGCCTTTTCATCTCATAATGTGAAGGTGACTTTGGCCTCTTTTCTCCTCAACCTTTTTGTCTTTGGGTAGATTGTCACATGAACAGCGAAGTAAGGTCTTGTTTTTTGTACCTTTGTGTCCTAGATCTGATTTTCCTCGCATGTAGCAATGCTGAGATTAACTGATTTGTATTGTTTTTGTGTAAATATAACCAATGATATTCACAGTGTAGTTGTAGTTGACGGTTACGGGTGCCGATGGAGTCCACCTCTGGATTTTATGCCAATGAACGCTGAAATTGGTTTCCTACCTCTCATTTTATACCTATTCATATTGTACACGTATGTGCAACTGTGTGTCGGTGCATGAATAAAGGAAAGTTCTGAAGCTGTTGTTGGCACCAATAAATTCTTTTACAGGAGAGAGTTGGAGAGTAAATGTGCAAGCTGGAAACCATATATGTTACTGTTAATAAACTTCAAAAACACTCCTGTTCTTCTTGCCCATTTCAACATTGTTTTCTGTCTTGATTCCTCCAGCAGATACACTTAAAGCTGCAATAGCTCATTTTTATAAAAATATTGTTTGTCATATTCACTGAAACTTTTACTATATCCTGACAGTAGTACATGAGACAGATAATCTGTGAAACAATCAGGTTCCTCTGGCTCCTAGTGCTCCAAATGGTTTTGTAAGAATCCACCAGGCCTGAACAAAAACAACCAATCAAAGCTGAGGAAGATAGAAAGATTGTGTCAAATACAGATTTATTTCACAGATTATCTGTCTCATGTACTACTGTCAGGATATAGTGAAAAAACTTCAATTTTTTTTATCTTCTCCATCCAGAAGAATCCAGTCTGACCTTATCTTGGAGTGCAGCAGTTTAGTCGGGACTGTCAGCTGACACTTTGTAAGCCACAAAATCACACCACTGGTGATGACTTTGCGCTATTGTGTCAATTTTGTTGTCATGGTTTTCTTATTCCTGTTGATAACTGGTCTGACAGTTATGTCTCACGCCTAGTGACAGCTGAACTGTATCTGAATCATGTTCAGTGTCAGCATCACATAAGTTAGCCAGCTAGCGTCTTTTTAATATGAGGTTAACGTGCCTCTCATACAGACACTACAGGGTACCTTGATCTGAGGGGCCTGGCAACGTCTGTGTTCAATGACCTGAGAATTTGGTTTTTATTATGGGCATTTATAGCTGCACACGTTTATCTCCAAAAGTACCTGTATTACAAGAGTTTAACAGTGATGTGTATGGATCCCAAGGTACACACATACAGTACACACTACAGCAGTACTGTGGTTGGAATGTAAGTTAATAATGCTGTTTTTTCAGAAGGGCTCTAAAGCATTATGGTATCAAAAACCTTTTCAACAGAATCATGAACCACACACAATCCAACCACGGATCAAACCTTATGTCAGGTTGAGGCTGAATAACACAAGAACTGTAACCCACCAGCCGGTCCTGAGACATTTCAACCATTATGACAAATAGCAGTGGATTGGTTATTGGTTAATAATGGATTATTACTATTTCTTTTTGTCATATTTAAAAGAAGTATTTAGAAAAATGACCTACTGTAGCTTTAAGAGATTATATATTTTCAAAGAATTCACAAAATACACTAATTTGCTTTCTTTCCAAGAGTAAGACGATTAATATCCTGGCAGCGCATCATGTACACAGCTGCAGTCAGGGGAGTTCAGAGGGAGTTCTACACTACTGCTCATCAACCCGCTCAGAGAGCCCGCACTGGCTGGAGATGCTGCACAGAAGTGCTGGGCAGATGGATGCACCACTTCAAAAATGTTCCAGCAAGTAACTCAGCGAAAAACTACAGAAAAGAAAGCAAATATAAGTATTTCTCTAAATGTGTCTTTAATGTGGTAAAAGGACGGTTAGAGCGCTGGACGGAAAACGTTTCATCCTCTGCACCTTCCCACTGCAGCACATCACACAGGATCAAATTTCCATTTAAAAAAAAGAAGCAGTAAAAAAATAAAAACATGTAAAATGCAAATCACTGCTTCCAGGAAGTAATAATATTAATTAAAATGAAAAAATCACGAGTAATAATAACTTTTGGAACACGTACAAAACCACAAAACTGTAAAAACATTCCTTGAAGTTCCAGAGGCCCCGAAGGACAGCAGCGCTCCCTCGTGTGGCGCCAGCTATAGGAAGACGACAGACAAACACTTCTCTCAATTCACTCCTCTGTCCTCCTCCACCTCTCCATCTCTCTCAGCCTTCTCTCCAGGATCCTCACTTGCTCCTCCAGGTGAGCGGTTTTATCAGCCGCACTAGAAGGCTGGCTCCTCGAAGTCCCGACACCGAACAGGACACAGACGCACACCAGGATGGCCAATCGGATGGCCATGGTTTCCGTCTCCACGCTGCGGTCGCTCAGGATGAGTCCGAAACAGGCAAAAGCCATGCTCACCTTCAGCAGCCACAGGGTCCGCCTCACAGTTGAGGCAACTAATCGGAAGGCGAGGGAGAGCAGCCAGTAGCTAACAAGAGCCACAAGAACCCACTGGACCACAAATATCAGGCCCTCTGGGGTCACCTTGTTGATGGGAATGCCACCTGTGGAAAACAGGAACACAAGGACAGCAAGAGTATTCACTGAGGATTAAAAAGAAATTTTAATTTAATTGTGAAATGAATATAAAATTTTAGGTTTAATTCCAACACTGTTTATGAACCCCAGTCTGCAGAAATATTCATATACAGTAGGCACACATATATACCACGTGCAGAAAACTGCATTGGTTTGGCCACAAAGCTGCATGAGATTAGCATAAAGTGGGCAATTTTGTAATGGGGGGGACTTGCGGGTACCCATAGAACCCATTTGAGTCTGAGTTCAGAGGGATCCCTTTGAAAATGGCCATGCTATTTTTCCATCGCCAAAAGTTTGCCCAGCTTTGGAGCATTATTTAGCCACCTCTCCCAACACGCTAACATGGCTAGTACTGACAGACGGTTAGGTCATTTAGGTTTCATATGATACCAGTATCTTCACTCTGGCTTTAATACGAAGCCTGCTATAGCCTCTGAAACACTGTGCGGAGTAGAAGAGGTAAGGATAAAGCAGTGGCCAATGAGATTTCCCGGGTGGCCACCCGGGGACACCCCTGCACGTCAAACTGAAACAGGTTTGCATTTGCTCTGCAATTTGCTGCATTTATTGCACAAACAGTGAGACATAAACAAAAAACAGCAACTCAACCAATGACAAAGAATAATGAGCACTTGTGGCCAAACACTCAATGTTTTATTCAGATATTAGTGCAGGGAACAACTAGCAGA